GTCTTCCATTCACTGGTTCACTCCCCAGATGGCAACAATAGCCAGAGCTGAGCTGATCCAAAGCCAGGAGCCAGGAGCTTCCTCCAGGTCTCCCACACGGGTGCAGGGACCCAAGGACTTGGGCCATCTTCTACTGCTTTCCCAAGCCATAGCAGAGAGCTGGATCTGAAGTGGAGCAGCCAAGACTCTAACCGACACCCTATGGGGTGCTGGCACTGCAGGCAGTGGCTTTACCCACTGTGCCGTGGTATCGCCCTGACATCCATGTTACTCTACAGGGAGTCCTCAGCTATACCTTTTGTTCCCTAGAACTTCCTTCAAGTCCAGTTCATCAAAAATTATCCTTTCTTCCTATCAGCATCAAGATTGACTTTGCTTTTGTTCAAGCAGAAGGATCACGCTGAGTGAACAATCCTAAATGGTGAGATGAGCAGCGCTCAGTTTAGAAAAGGATTTATTAAGAGCCTGGAGCAGGCATTTACCCTGGGGGCTAAGAAGTCCCTGTGCCATCTCATATGTCCCATGTTCAATTCCTGCCTCCAGCCTCCTGCCAGTGACGACCCAGAGACAGCGACGATGACCCAGGTGAATGAGTACTTTCCAGCCATATGGGAGACTGGCTAGAGGTCCTGGATCTCTGCTTGGGCTATTTGGCCCAATCCTGGCTGTTGTGGATATTTGTTGAGTGAAACAACAAGTAGGAACTCTCTCTGTCAGTCTCTGCTCTGAGCTCTCTCTGTGTCTGTCTCTCTGTTTCAAAATAAAATAAATAAAAATATTTTCAACATAAAAGGTCTTGATCAGATGAGGCAGGTTTCTGAACTAGAGCAGTCTCTTGATGGTCCTGCTGTTCTCCAGGCAGCCTGGAGGAATAAGACACCCCCATCGAAGCAGCTCCCTTCTGTCCCCAACCTGTGCCTCTTGTGAGCTGCTGCATGGATACTAACCTCTGCTGGAGGAGCCAGGAAAAGTGCTTTTGTACAAGCCACCTTTGTTCCATGATTGACTTGGAAGCTTAGGAAATGAAGAGAAATTAAGATACTCGCTTATAGTTTTATAGCAAAACCAAGTTTTACTGTGAGAGAAAGGAAAGGACCTTGGAATGAATACTAATAAATTTCTGAAAGTTTTCCTCCAAGAAGAGATGTCTGTAGTTAGTCCATATATTTGACTTGGCTCCATAGTACTTAAGAGTGCTTGGGCTTGTGGGCAAAGAAAAGGTGATATTTTAAGTTAAAAAATAGGATATAATGCAAAGGAAAATGACTGGTCTTAGTTATAATTTTCAGGCTAAGCCATAAAATTAGAAATATGTGATTTTTGTATACTTTAAAAAGCCTATATTCAATGTTGAGGTTTGGGTTGGGTTTAGATTTGATTCCTAGCACACTTGGAAAGTAAAATAAACTGCATTTCTGCATGGGGAAGTAGGAACTTGAGGCTTGTCTCAGTTACACTAGCTTAAAACAGAAACGCAAGACACATTGGTCAGCTCAGTAAAGAAAAAGGGAGAGAGCGAATTTTACGTTTAAACTGAAAGGAAGCTAATGAAAATGTGTTTGTAAAACTTTTTAGACCATCAAGCATTTAAAGCAGTTAAGCTGACTTTTACAAAATCTCGGGTTCTCTTCTTCCTAAGTACTTGCAGAGCAAGACGAGAAGTAATATTTTCAAGTTATCTTGTGATAATAGGCAGCTTTTAACTAATTAGAAGAGTAGTAATTGAACAATAATCCCAAGTGATTTTTTTCTGTGTTACTTAAAAATACATTTCAATTTTGACCAAAAATGATGGCTTTTTAAAATTAAATGACTTTTCATTATGAGTAAAGGGTATAGGTTTGGGCTCAGACAGTGGTATTGGTACTGCTGAATGCCATCAGAAGCAGACAGCATCCCCTACTCTGTGGTTTCATGGGCACAGGGAGGCCCTCCTCTACTCTTGATTCATGGACTTCTGGGGGCTGAAACAAAATGGTCTCCTTTTGGCTTGCAGCTCTACTTATTTTAAACATTTAAATGCCTCCTAGAAAGGAGAACATTGACTGTTACCCTGCACAGGGAAATGGCAAACGTGTGACTTGCATACTCTCCCTGCCTCCCAGCCATTGGTCCCAACCTCAGATTTCTTGCCCAGGGAGCCCAGTTCCAAGAATCCTCTCTCCAACGTAGCTGTACAAGAAGCCAGTCTGCATCCAGTAGACTTGACCTGCAAGTGGATATCTAGCTGACAGTCCCAATTTGTATTTAGGCAAGTGGGTTTATTGAATATTTGAAGCAGAGCAGATTTTGAGAATGATGAAGGAAAGAAAGTAAAAAGGTTTCTGGATTTGAGGGGAAGACTGGGATGTTACCACCAGGGATGGTTTATAAATTTTGCCTGTAAGTTTTTACAGAAGTAAACATATGACATGTAGAAATCTACTACAAAGTGCAACATACCAATATTAGCACTTTTGGTTTTTATGGTACTTCTTCATAGTGGGTTATGAGAGAGGACAGGAAGAAGAAAAAGAGAGAGATCTCCATTGTATGTGAAGGGGACTGAGCATGACATTAGAATGACTCATCCACAGTGAAAGAGTGCAGAGCTGTAATACGCTTGGGATCCTGTCTTGCCAGAGTATTCTGCAATTTTATATACTGTTTCCATAGTCATATGGAATTAGACAGACATGTGTGGCGTATTAATCTTCTCAAGGGAGCCTGCCTCTTCAGGCCAGTCTCCTTAACATCAAAGTTCACCATTAATTTGAGTGGACTAAGAGTTGAAACTTTCATTTGTTCAATTTTTCTATTTCTGCCTGATAAATAATAATGCAGTTCTTTTTTTTAACTTTTATTTAGTAGATATAAATTTCCAAAGTACAGTTTATGGATTACAGTGGTTTTTTCCCCCCATAACTTCCCTCCCACCCACAACCCTCCCATCTCCCGCTCCCTCTCCCATTCCAATAATGCAGTTCTTAGCAATGTTGGCAAATCAAGAAATTTATACAATGTGGATCACTTGACCTCATTTTGCACATGAGTAATATTTGGCTACTCATGTTCACAGTTGAAATTTTCAATTTCATTGCACATAATCATCTGACAAAATTAAACAGAATGCACTGAGGGGAGATATTTTGTAATAAATACATTATATTGGATAAAGAAATAATATTGAGGATGGTATAATCAGAGATTTTTGGCAAATATTTAGATTTGAAATCAGGAGCTTCTTGGTGTGGTCTATAAAGTTAGTAATCAGAGCAAGAATTTTACCAGACCTTTTGTAGACAGCAGAGATAAAACAATTATGCGTTGGAATGCTTTGTATGTTTCTGATACATATGAGGCCATTCTTTTCAGTTTATTGTCAATTTCAGTTGACCTTATGAGGGACAGTTTCAGTACTCTTGATTTGAAGAGTAGTAGGTCTATTTTTTACAGCAGTTCTTCTGTAATGTCATGCTTTTGTTAGGAAAAGCTCATAAGTATTTACTGAGCACCCACTATATGCCAGCATCGTGCTGCAATACCCGTTAGAATACTGGGAAAAAAGACAGCTGTGGTTGGCTAGTGTTGAGAGGCCTTCTGTGTCTTCTAATCTACTCTCCCTTGGTCTGCTCTGCAGTGTCGCTGGCGTGATTGCCACAGCTCAGTGCATCATCTAATGCTCTCATTAATAATAACATTTCCATACCATTTCATAGGTGCCAGACCTCCCACTGTACTCCCCATAGTCGTTCATTTAGTGCTTCCTACAACCCTATAAAGTAGGTACTTTTTTATATAGAACAGAAATCTGAGACACAAAGAGGTTAAGAAATGTGACCAAGATCAATAGCTAGTAAGTAGTTGAGGTGGGCTTTGAACCTAGGCAGTGCTGCCCTGCATCAGGGTATTTAACTCAAGCTCAGCTGTCTGAGCAGGAAGTTCTCCTTGAATTCCAGGCAGGAGCAGCTGAGCATCTGAATACAGGCAGACAGTGTGAGGGGCCATAAAGGACTGATCAAACCTCCAGAGTAAATAGAATCCGATGCCAAGTTAGTTGTAGACTTTTGAGAAGAAGAAGGCCATTAACTTTGAAGATTTACTAGAAAATGATAGCTTGCCCCAGCCACTGGAGTGTTTGGGATATAAATGGTTTTGGAGAAAGAGACATGAGCCTAGCTTTGATCTCTTTAATCTGAGGTGATGGGTTCAACTCCATGTTGACTTGAGTGACACACAAATTGATGAAATGGCAAAACACACAGTGTGGCCCAGCGGACAAGCATGGGATATGGAACGAGCAGAGGCAAGGGGTGCCAGTGTTGATTCCCCGGTGACACTATGCAAGTCACTTCAGTTCTTGGAATGTTAATGTTCTTGCTGGTGATTGAGTTTCCATTATAATTGCCTGAGAAAGTTTAGAGTCAGTGATGTGCCAAGGATCACACAGCCAAGTGAAGGCTGCATACCTAAATAAACTGTCTTTTGGAATTTATTATTCTGAACAATGTTTGGGGAAAAGGAATAATCACATTTTTATGTTGGAGCTAGTTTGACCATACCACATGGCCCAAAACAGGACACTTTACAGAGTGAAACTGGTTACTATTATTAAATATACCCAAACAATATGCATTCTGGTATGATTGTGGAACTGTCATATGATAAGAGCATAAACGTTTACATTACACATAGCCATTAGAGGAGATTCTTCTGAAATATTCCTTGGAGTTATCACAAAATATGGTTTCTGATTTTGAATGAAAGTATGTGTGCAAGAAGGTATGCTCAGGATGTGACTCCCAGCTGGTGCCTTCCATACTGGCTGCGTCCAAGGGCCATACCCCAACTTTGTCCTCAGCAGCACTCCTCATCACCATCTCCCTTTGCCCACACATAGCTGTCAAGCCACTGCCATGCTTCAGTTGTTTGGAAGAGCCAGGAGGGACCACGTTGCCTTGATGTGCCTAGAGTTGTCTCCATTGCCTTACTTTTGCTCCTTCCTGCTTGCTGCTGTATAGTTGCTCCGGTCTGCCGCTGACTGGTCTGCTGGGATCAAGTACCATGAAGAGTCTATCCACGCTGCTTACGTCCATGTGATAGAGAACAGCAAACACTATATCTATATCGAGGTAAGTCCTCTTCATGTCATTGTTTTGAGAACCTGCTGGCCCATAGATACCATGCTGCAGGGTTCTAGAAGTGGGCACCTGCCATTGTAAGAAGTTAATTTGAGAGAGAGAGAGAGAGAGAGAGAGAGAGAGACTGACTTCCATCTGCTGGCTTACTCCCTACATGATCACAATAATTGGGCTTGGGCCAGGCTTAAGCTGGTTCCAGGAACTTAGTCTAGGTCTCCTATGTGGGTGCCAGCGAGTCAACTAGTTGGGCCATCACCACTGCCTCCCAGGGTCTGCAATCGCAGGAAGCTGGAGTCAGGAGCCAGAGCTGGGTGTCAGCTCCAGGGTCTCTGATATGGGATACTGGCATCTTAACTAGCGTATTAACTGGTAGGCCAAATGCCTGTCCGTTTTTTGAATTCCCCAGAATATCTGAAGTTTACTCTGTATTGTCATTAACTCAGGATTCTAAGGGGAGTCTTCCAAATCCTTGGCATTAAATGTATCAACTCATTGTAGTATTATTGGCCAGAAGTACCCCATCATGGGTGTGTAAGTTTTGATTTGGCTGGGGTTGCAGAGTTTAAGTGTGAGCCCTGTACTGTTTCATAAGAACACGAGAGGTCAGTTGCTAAAATAGAAACCACTGGATGCTACTGATTTGGGGATGTAGGAATGGGGAGAGTGCAGGGAAAAGTAGGGGAAAGGAAGACATGAGAATGTTAAAGGCTGGTACCACCTTCTTAAATTCTGTATGATCTATTCACTACCAAGTATTTTAGATCAGAGTTAGGTTCAGAGTCTATGAGAAAATCTGGGGACCCTGAGTTTAGTTTGGAAATCTTAATTACACTTCAAAGTAGATGTAAAAATAGCTCAGAGCACTTGGAAAACCATGAGAAAGTAAAAAATCACAGTAATGGAAAAAATAAGTCAGAGCATATAGCACTTCTTTAATCTTTTCTTTCCTATCTAATAAAAAAAGTATGAACAGAGATGGGTAACTGGGGGAACCTTTCTGGCCCTGTTTCCCTTCCTCTTGTGTCCTGGCCCTCTCCCCCTCCATGTGGTGCCAATTCCATTAAAGCAAACAAGGAAGAATTTCTTGATTTTGTAGCCTAGAGAAAGAGACATCCATATGAAAATATGAGCAGCCTAAAGTTAAGGTGGTATCTTCAGCAGGATCACAGAATGGAAAAGAGGACATTAGTGCATGAAGTCTGGACTTTAATAAGATATTAGCATATATATATACACACACACACACACACACACACACATATATATATATATATATATATATATGGATTATTTATTTGAAAGACAGAGTTAACAGAGAGGGGGACACAGAGCGAGAGGTCTTCCATTTGCTGATTCACTCCCCAAATGGCCTTAACAGTCAGGTCTGAGCCAGGTTGAAGCCAGGAGCCAGAAACTGCATCTGGGTCTTCCATGCGAGTGGCAGGAAGGCAAAAACTTGAGCCATCATCTGCTGCTTCCCAGACACAGCCGCAGGAAGCTCAATGAGAAGCAGAACAGCCGGGGCTCGAGCCAGCACTCTGATATGGGATATGCGCTTAACCTGATGCACCACAGTGATTATTAATTATTAATTTTGATGATTATGCCATAGTAAGATGTTCAGGCTGGTTCATCCTTTGACCAGCACTATTTCCTTCATCTGTCTTTAGTAGCATTAATGTTAGCCTTCTTTTTGAATGCTAGCTTAACATCAAATGAAGTCAGTAATGCCCTGTGGGTGCGTAGGTTGTGGACATAGGCCTGGGTGGTACTGGTCTCGTTGAAGTAAGTGTTCCCAAAAGAGAAATAGGGACATGACATGTGGCTAGTCTGTGCATACAGTTGCTGAACGCCTCTGTAATAGGAATTCAGAAACAAAAACACATGGTTTTGTTGCTTGTTGGATGCCTGGAGGGAAACCACGTTCTCAGGACATTTCTACACCACGGCTTCCTGTAAGAGGGTCTTCCGTAGGCCCTTTACAGATAAATGCAACCAGGTTGAGTAAGAACCTGGAGGGTCACACAAATGACCGTGCCGCAGAGGGCTGGCAACCACATTCTGAGTCCTGAGCTTCCTTGTCTGTGTACCCTGAGTGATGAGCAAATGCTACTTTTTAATGATTGTCCTTATAAAATACAGATACACCATAGCAGTCTGCATTCTCTGTGAACATGCACGTTTTTCACCCACCTTACAACATTCCTTTATGCAGCAGCACAGGCTTGTGCACTATTGATATGATAATGTGATTCTTCATTGTCCAGAAATAGTTTTAAAGAATATCTTATAAATTTATGGATAGTAGGAGTACTTAGAGAAAAAAGAAAATATATTCCCATTTTTTTCATTTTATTATTTTATTTGCATATAGGCAACATACTTGCAAAAGAGATTTGGAACTGCTTAAAATAGAAGTTCAGGGATAATAAGAAATTCATACATACCAGCCAGGTTAAAAAAAAAAAAAAAGCAGATACTAGGAAATAATGGAAAAAGGGTGGAAAACATTTAAGCAGGCTTCTGCCATCTGCCCTGTGAAAAAGTGAACCTAGCATAAAAAAAAGCATGTTTGCCAATAGAGATTTTTTTAAACTTTTGTGTAAATTTTATTAAATTGAGGGACCGGCACTATGGCATAGTGGGTAAAGCCTCTGCCTGCAGTGCCAGCATCCCATATGGGTGCCGGTTTGAGTCCCGGCTGCTCCACTTCCTATCCAGCTCTCTGCTATGGCCTGGGAAAGCAGTGGAGGATGGCCCAGGTCCTTGGGCCCCCGTACTCATGTGGGAGCCCTGGAAGAAGCTCCTGGCTCCAGGCTCCTGGCTTCGGATCAGCGCAGCTCTGACCCTTGCAGCCAATTAGGGAGTGAACCAGTGGATGAAAGACCTCTCTCTCTCTCTCTCTTTCTGCCTCTCCTTCTCTCTCTGTATAACTCTGACTTTCAAATAAATAAATAAAATCTTTTAAAAAAATTATTAAATTCAAAGGCAGAGTAACAGAGCAAGAGAAGGAGAGAGAGAAAAACAGATTTGGTTCACTCCCCAAATGCTGCAACTTTCAGACCTGGTCCAGGCTGACGCCATCCGTGTCTCCCACATGAGTGACAGGAGCCCAGATATGTGCACCATCACCTGCTGCCTCTCAGGGTGTGCATTAGCAGGATGCTGTTTTGGAAGCAAAGCGAGGTCTTGAACCCAAGCACTACCATATGAAATCCCAAGCAGTGGCTTTACCACTGCACCACAATGCCTGCTGCTAGATTTTAAAGTCATAGGTGTTTAGACAATGTCAGAATCTCAAAAACAGACAAGCAAATTGGCACCTAATTACCCTCTTGATCAAATTTGGAATGTTCCTAGCATTCTGAGACTGTGTAGAAAATCACCCACAGCGAAGTGCAGGTGAAATAATACTGTGTCCTTCTGCTTGTCTCCACTTGGGGTATGAGGTAACCCAGAAGTGCGGGAGACCCAGAGTGATATGAATCTTCCTGGATCCTGTGTCTCGGACCTTCCGTGTGATGTCAGAGACCAGGATGGGGCTGCTCGTGGAGCATTTCTCCAGAACGCCTGTGCAGGGTTTGCTATTCACCATGTCTTCCTCATGTCCTTGTTCCTAAGAAAAGAAAGCCTCATGTAGTTGTGCTGTTTGTCTCTCCTAGAACCAGTTTTTCATAAGCTGTGCTGATGACAAAGTTGTGTTCAACAAGGTGGGCGATGCCATTGCCCGGCGGATCCTGAAAGCGCACAGGTAGTGTTTGGGGCCCTCTGGTGGGGGTTCCTCCTGCAGCTGCTCTTGTATCTGCTCCTAGCCCGACGTGAAGGCCCGTTTTTAACATGCAGCGTTTCCTCACGGGCTTGCCTTTGGTGCAGCCGACAGACAGTAGGTTGTTGGTTCTTTTGAATCCAAGCCAGTTGCTAAGCATTTCTGGGTCCCTTTTTGAAGGAATCTAAGTTCTTCCAGGGCACAATCATTTTTTCCTGGCCAGACTCTTTCCCACGCATGAGGTTTGTGATTTGATTTATTTAATGGCAGACAGTGAGCTGTGTTCACTTAAAAAACAAAGCCAAATAGACATAATATTTTTCCATGGGTTATATTTAAATCCTTGTTACCAGCTGCCTCATTTCTTTAGCTCATGGGATTATTCAATAACAGTTTCATTGAGATGAAATTCACTTGGTATACAGTCTGTCCACTGAAACCCTAGACTCCATTGATTCTAGTTAGTATACTCATAGAGGTGTGCAGCCGTGCCTGATCAATTTTAGAATGTTTGCATCACCCCAGGAAGATAACCCCATACCCAGAAGGAGTCATTACCCATTCTCTCCTTCCCTTAGCCTCTAGGAAGTACTAATCTACTTTCTTTTTCTGTAGACTTGCCCAGGAGTGTGCATTTCATGTAAATTAAATCATGCAATATGTGGGCTTTTACAATTGACTTTTCTCACTTAGCCTATTTTGAATGTTATAGAATGTTCAGCATTTTGAGTCTTTTAGTAACTAGACAATTTTCTATCACATGGGAACACCACATTTGGTTTAATTCTTCATCAGTTGCCGGACATTTGGGTTGTCTCCACTTTGGGCCATTATGAGTAATGCTGTTATAAACATCCTGTGCTAGTTTTTCTGCAGACATGTTTTCATTCCTCTTGGGGTGAAATTACTGGGTCACAGGCTAACTCTGTGTTTAACACATTGAGGAACTGCCAGATTATTCCAAAACAGCTACACCATTTTACATTCCCATTGTCTATGAGAGCTGCAATTTCACTCTATCAGTGCCATTACTTACTGCTGTGTGTCTGTGTGTGTTATTTATTATCGTCACTCTAGTAGGTATGAAATGGTAACATTGTGTGGTTTTGATTTGAATTTACCTAATGACTAATGATGTTGAACATATTTTTGTGTGCTTATTGGCCATTCATATATTACTGTGAAGAAATAATCTATTGGATTACTTGACTTTTTATTGTTGAATTTTAAGAGTTCTTTATATATTCTGGATACAAATTTCATATCAGATGTATGGTTTGCAAGAATTTTCTCTCATTCAGTGGGTCATATTTTATTTTCTTGATGGAATCCTCTAAAATACAACAATTTCTAATTGTGACAAAGCCCAATCCATTTTTTCTTTCATCATCTGTGCTTTTAGTGTCATATCTAAAACATTGCTGCCTCATCTAGTATCATGAAGATTTATACCATTTTCTTCTAAGAATTTTGTAGTTTTAGCTCTTATATTTAAGTCTTTGGTTCATTTTTTTATATGGTATGAGTTGGGGATCCATTCTTTTGCATGTGGATACACTTGTCCCACAGAATTTGTTGAGAAAGCTATGCTTTCCCTACTGCGTTGTCTTAGCACCTGGGACAACTTCCTTTTATTTCCTTTTTTCTTTATTAAAAAAAAAAAATTTTTTTTTGACAGGCAGAGTGGACAGTAAGAGAGAGAGACAGAGAGAAAGGTCTTCCTTTGCCGTTGGTTCACCCTCCAATGGCCGCCGCTGCCAGCGCGCTGTGGCCGGCGCACCGCGCTGATCCGATGGCAGGAGCCAGGTACTTTTCCTGGTCTCCCATGGGGTGCAGGGCCCAAGCACTTGGGCCATCCTCCACTGCACTCCCTGGCCACAGCAGAGAGCTGGCCTGGAAGAGGGGCAACCGGGACAGAATCCGGCGCCCCGACCGGGACTAGAACTTGGTGTGCCGGCGCCGCAAGGCGGAGGATTAGCCTAGTGAGCCGTGGCACTGGCCTTTATTTCCTTTTATGACTAAGTTTAACTTTATGTAAAAGTAGCAAAATAAACCATTACACTTCATTCTTTCAAGTCATTGAATAAACGCAGCTAAGAATAAGTCCTTATATCAGGGGTCTTCAAAGAGTAAATAAGAATGCATAATACAAAAAGACTATGCATGGATTTCAATTTTTTTCACCAAAATAAACTTTTTTTTTGACAGACAGAGTTAGACAGTGAGAGAGAGAGAGACAGAGAGAAAGGTCCTCCTTTTCTGTTGGTTCACCCCCCAAAATGGCCGCTAGGGCTGGTGCGTTGCAGCCTGCGCACTGCGCCGATCCGAAGCCAGGAGCCAGGTGCTTCCTTCTGGGCTCCCATGCGGGTGCAGGGCACAAGCACTTGGGCCATCCTCCACTGCTTTCCTGGGCCACAGCAGAGAGCTGGACTGGAAGAGGAGCAACCAGGACAGAATCTGGCACCCCAACCGGACTAGAACCCGGGGTGCCAGCACCACAGGCAGAGGATTAGCCAAGTGAGCCACAGTGCCGGCATAAACTGTCTTTTGAGTTCCATTTTCCCATAAATTTTTGAAGTACCCACTTACAACTTTGGGAATTAAGATGGTTTTAATTTCTAATGTCATGTGGTACTTTTTTTTTTCAAAGATTTATTTATTTATTTGAAAGTCAGAGTTACAGAGAGCAAGAGGGAGGGACAGAGAGAGAGATGTCTTCTATCTGCTGGTTTACTCCCCAAATGACCACAATGGCCAGAGCTGGGCTGATCCAAAGCCAGGAGCCTGGAGCTTCCTTGAGGTCTTCCACATGGGTGCAGGGGCCCAAGGACTTGGGCCATCTTCCACTGCCCTCCCAGGCCAGAGCAGAGAGCTAGATTGGAAGTAGAGCAGCTGGGACTCGAACTGGCACCCATATGGGATGCCGGCACTGCAGGCGGCAGTTTTACCCACTGTACCATGGCGCTGGCCCCTCTCATGCACTTTTTAAATAAATTGATCAGAGGATCTGTTTCAGAGATGACTTAAAAACAGTCTTATTTACAGTTGAACATATACACACATACACAGATTTCTTGTAGCCTCACCAGTTCTCCAGTTCTCTGGAGTAATTTACAAAATCGCTGTATCTTTTTGTCATCTCTTGCATTTCATCACTGCAGGTGTGTCTGCATTAGCTGTGAAGCAATTTGGCAAAAGAGAAAAATAATTTTTCTGTAAAGTTAAGTCACAGCCCTACCCTGACAAGTGAGCTCATCAGATGCGTCAGTTAATCATGAATTTTGTTCCTGTGATCAGCTAATAAGGAGGGTAGGGGGAACCTTGGCTTCACCCCCCCCCCAATTATTAATTTACTTTATTGAATGTTTAGTATATATCTGTAGGAGTTGCTTTTAAGTGTTTGGGAACCTGAAAATATTTTGCTTACTATATTAATTTGCCTTTAAAAATCTGAACTTCTAATATCATGAGATCTGGTTAATGGTTAAGACATTAGTTAAGGTGGCTGTGTCCCATATTGTAGTGTCTGGGTTCAATAACTTCCTTTGGATTCTGACTCCAGCGTCCTGCAGTACAGACTCAGAGGCGGCAGTCATAGCTCTAGTGACTGTGTTTCTGACACGAATGTGGGAGACCTGAACTGAGTTCCTGGGCCCTGGCTTTGGTCTTGACCCAGCCCCAGGCATTTCGGAGCATTTGAGGAGTGGACCATAAGGTGGAAGTGCTCGCCTTCCCTCTCTCTGTCTCCCCTTGCCCCTTCTGTCGCTCTCTCAGAATAAATAAATTCATAAATTTGTAAAATATAAAAGCCATACAACATACCATGTTAAGGCTGGAAGGGTAGGGTCTGATTGACAATTCGTCGTGGTCCCCTGAGCTGCTCCTAAGAGGAAGGAGGAGGCTGACAAGACAGCGTCTGTTGTACATGATCTTAGGCTGTGAGGTTCCCAGGGCACATTAATGACTGGCAATTTCAAACTAACTTTGTAGAAAATGGGAAATGAGATCATCAAATTTAAAATTAATTATGTGTCCTTGGGCTCTGATTTCTAAATAGTCTCACTGTCTTTGGCAGCCACATTTCAAAATGTTATGGGTATCTCGTTCAGACTTCCAGCGGTTACACACATGTGCCATGGCAAACGTGTTTTACCTTTTCTCATTCCTTGAACTGCACATTATCGTTCGTCTCCTGGGTTACTTCCACTTCAAATCCTGAGCTTGTGTTCTTAGGCAAGGTCAAGACTAACAACCCTGCATTCAGGAGGGACCTTGAGGTGCCATCTGCAAGCCTGCACCCTCTCCCTTCATAGACTGCTCTGCTCTCCACCCTTCGGAGACTCCAAGCCTTCCTGCCAAAGTCACATTCTTAGCAACATGTATGTTTTTGGCTGTTGGAAAAAAAGAATAAAATACAGCCCAAAGCAGATGGTGGGAAAAGGCATTCAGCAGTCGGGCGGGCCTGACCAAGGAACACAGGCCCTCTTCCCGGTCCTTCCCACCCTGGAAAGCGCGGTCTTAAAATTGCCAACTCCCTCAGCTGGGCCGAGTCTTTATTTTTCTGCCAGCGCTGGAATCCAGCCTCACACCAGTTCCCTTAGCAATTTCTCTGCTCCCCTCACTTCTGGTTGCCTCTAGCAGCCATAATTCTTCATAGAAACATGTTTTTGCAGAGCCTCCAGGTTCTGATCTTGACCTAGAGCCTCAGACTAGTGTTCATGCCTCGCCAGACTGAGAGCATCTGGGAAGTCACTGACGGGAACAAAATGTCTGCTCTCGTCAGTGGAACTGTCTCTGAGTTGAGGCCCACTCCCAACCCACAGGAGGACCTGTCTTTGACAACTCAAACGTTGGAGATGGAGATCAGGGAGAAGGAATCAGAACGCAGTCCAAAACTTACTGGTTTATCCTGAGTTTGAATAAGCTCGAGGATAGACTCTGGGCAGAAGCATTTTGAAACACAGTGTGCCTTGGACAAATGGTTT